TTCATACTCGTCGGTGACCTGGTTAACCACGAGCTGGGAGTCGCTGCAGATAACAATGTGCTTTGCTTTTACTTCTCTGGCTATGGCTAGTCTAGCTATCAACGCCTCGTACTCTGCTTCATTGTTAGACGCCGCGAACTCGAAGCGTAGCGCGTATTCCAGTTTTGTACCGCTTGGGTCGTGCAGAACTATTCTGGCACCGCTACCCTGTTGGTTCAAGGAGCCATCTACGTGAAGGATCCAGGGCTCCTCATCCCAGCTCATGGTTGGCCGAGCTAGGAGAGGTGCCACACTGGCTGCTACCTCACGGGGTTCGGACTCGACCGACCCGGGAGCTTCGGGCTCACCCGAGCTGGGAGCCTTGCGCTCAACCGGCCTGGGAACTTTGGAGTTGAATGTGCATTCGGCTATGAAATCTGCTAAGGTTTGGGCCTTAATGGCAGTTCGCAGCTTGTACTGGAGGTCGTACTCGCTGAGCTCAACGGCCCACTTTGTCAACTGACCAGAGACCTCGGGCTTAAGCAATACTTGCCTCAGAGGTTTGTCAGCGAGGATGATAACAGTATGAGCTTGGAAGTACGGGCGGAGCTTCTAGGCTGCAATTACCAGTGCGTATGCTAGCTTTTCTATCTCCGGGTATCTCATCTCTGCTCCCTACAATACTTTACTAACATAATAGATGGGTCATTGGACCTGATCTACTTCGTCGCTCGCCGAGAGATACAGTTCTAAGACATCGCTCTCCTCGGGCCAAGTTAAGGTYGGCACACTAGCGAGGTATTTCTTGAGCTCGTCGAACGCGAGCTGGCAGTCTTGGGTCCATTCGAACCCTTTGCTCTTAATTGCCTTAAAGAACGGTAGACAGCGGTTTGCTGATTTAGACATGAAGCGGCTTAGGGCGACTATGCGACCATTCAACCTCTGAACCTCCTTCAACTTCCGGGGTGGTCTCATATCTAAAATGGCCTTAATTTTATCCAGGTTGGCCTTGATGCCGCGCCGGTTAACGATGTATCATAGAAACTTGCCCGAGGTCACACCAAACACACACTTGTTTGGGTTCAGTCTCATATTAAACTTACGCAGAATTTCAAAAACGGAATGCAAATCTTGTATTTGAGGAAGAAAAGAACTGAGAAAGTTTAGAGAGAAAGGCCTTTTGAAGCATTTCCCATAGACGACGCCAAATGATGTAGCGCAATCCGGTCACTCCTAACTAGCGCTTGCGTGGCTCCTGAGAGGTACTTGAGACGAGAGGAAAGAGGAAGAACTCCCTGGGGGTTTCCCGGCAGGAACGCTCTGATGCTTAAGTTAGTATCGTGTGCAAGAAGCAAAAGGAGAACGAAGGCTAAGAGTGCAGGTTACGTTGGTGATTTGAAGATACCTTGTTCCTTGAGAATAAGCCCCTTATAACAGAATTTCGTTGCTTCAGGCCCTCTAACTTCTGACAGGGCAGGTATAACCGCCACTGTCTGCCACAGTCGTTACAGGCAAGGCTGAGGTGGCACGCGCGGGGCCGTCGTTGCAGGGTACGTATCTATCAGGTGCGGGACACCTTTCTAAAGGTGGAAGGTGCGGCGAGAGAGACATGCCTGTTGTCCACATATTTGTCGGGTACGGCAGTCGAGCAGGAAGCCTTCCTGTGGTATACCGAACTACCCTGAGTCGGGCTGTCCTTTGAGTGACAGGCCGCCTCTAGTCGGTTGTGCCGAGCTAGCTGACCCGAGGTGCCTGGGCCTCGGGGTGTCCGGGGAAGGATCGGTGCATTCTTGCCTGGGAGTGGCCCGAGGTCCATTGTGAGGAGCTCGGGTCTTAAAAGGGGTTGGGGTGCCCGAACTCGGGACCCCCCGAAGTGCCTTGACCTCGGGGAGGAGGTGCGGGTAAGGCGGCTCCTGGCGAGTAGTTTACTCGCCGAGTTGTCGAGCTGAACTCGGTGGGACTTTCCCTCCGAGTTATGCTCACGCTCATTGCGCTGTCATGCTGAGTCACTGTTTGAGTAAGGTCACGCCCACGTGTACCTGTACTGCGAGGTCGGGCCAAATCACCCTCCATCAGGATTGATCCAATCCAATATGTCTTGTTGGTCTGTCCAATCCATGCAAATTGATTTTGAAGTATACGGGGTCTAATCCAAAACCGATCCATCGACACCCTTACTTCCAATGACTTAAAGAAATACATTAGAGAGTTGGTGTTCGATTAGGATTGTAGAGAAAAATAAAGAAAAAAGCAAAATTAAGGAGATAATCTAGAGAGGATGAGTTGTAGTCGAAAACGTATAGGATGGAGATCTCATGCATGAATTTTGCATTGGCAAACATGTAGCTTGATGAATGTGCTGAATCGATTAGTATATGGAAATTGGAATCAGAATTGGATGGATTCTAGTTCCTTGTGGAGGGGAGGGAATAGCCATTCCCTTAGGCTATGTTTGGTTTGAAGGAAAAAGTGGGGAAAGGAAAGGAAATGAAGGAAAATTTTTACAAATTTGTATAGGTTTCCCTGCATTTCCCTTCCTTTTCTTACTTTTTCCTTCAAATCAAATATAGCCTTAAATGGGGGGAGATGTCATTCCACTAGAAATGACAATGGGAATCTAATTCCACCCAACCAAACAATTGAAATCAAAATACACTATTCCGATTCCAAATCCCTATTCCCACAAACCAAAGCTCTTGACATGAGATTTTTTGCGCCCAAATCTCTAGGACACTTCTGTATGTTTCTCTCTTTTTTTTTTCAATAATTTTTTGTAATTCACCTCTAAAAAACAAGTACCACCAAGAACACAAAAGACCTAGCTACGTGGTTTAGCCTTTTTGCCTACGTCCACAAGAAAAAATGAAAATTGTTCTTTAATATGAAAGAAACAGAGTGACAATATAGGTACCTTATAGCATACAATCCAAACCAACCCTTAACCCCTGTACACCCATTCTCCCTTTCCTCTCTTAATCCAAAAAACACAAACAAGAGGAATAAATTCATTCTTACACCAAAAATACCCTCTTTCACTCTATCTTTCTCTTTTTTTCTTCACATTTATTTTAAATCCTATATAAAGAAAGCTTTTTATATGTAAAACTCACCTTAAAAGATGGACCACACCAACCATTAGATTAAAAAATAAACTAACATATAAAAATAGGACAACCCCAACAACACTTATTTCCTCTTCAAGATGTATCTTTTGGACAAAAATATTACCAAAGTGCTCTTGGTTCCAATATTTAAATGTATACATTTAAATGTTGTGTTTGGTTGCAGTGCAATTTTATTTGTACTAGTATAAATGCATGAGAGTGCAAATGAAAAAAATGCAAATTCTTGTTTAGTTTTGTTTTGGGTTTTACTTTACACTCCTTTAGATCTTGGTTTACTTCATTTGTACTCAATCAAACAAAATAAACTAAAATTTAAAACAAAAATAAATCAGAATTTACACTCAATGCACTACTTTAATTTTACATCAATGCAAATTTATTTGTGATGGAGGGTGATTTGGCCCGACCTCGTAGCACGGGGACACGTGGGTGTGACCTCGCTTAAGCGATGACTCAGAGTGATAGCACAGCAAGCGTAGCTGCAACTCGGTGGGAAGGGCTCACCGAGTTTAATCTAGCAACTCGGTGGGTTAGGCTACTCGCCGAGAGTCGTCTGGCTTGCACCTTCTTCCCAAGGCTGAGGCGCTCCGAGCTACCTCCGAGCTCGGGGCCCCCTAACTTTTCCTAATGCCCAAGCTCCTTCCAGTGGGTTCTAGGCCATTCCCAAAAAGGAACACCCCGATCCGCCTCTAGGCACCCTGAGGTAGAGACACCTCGGGTCAGCGCCGCTGGTGTAGCTTGCCATAGGCAGCTCGACAAAACTTGCCATAGGCAGCTCGCTGCTTGCAGGGTAGCTCGCAGAAGAGCAGTTCGGCCTATCACAGGAAGATCTCTTGCCTGACAACTGTATCTGGCAAACCTGGAGACTGCGACCACGTCTTTTGTCAAACGGTGTCGTACCCACCACCTCTGGAAGATGTCCTACATCTGACAAGTACGTACCCTGCAGCGACAGCCCCGCACGTGCCACCTCAGCCCTGACTATAACGGCTGCGGTAGAACGACAGTGGCGGTTATACCTACCCTAACAGAGGCAGGTGAGTCTGATTTGGCAGAGTTCTGTTATAAGTAGTCCCGATCCCAAAGGGCAGGGGATCTCTTGACACCCACGCTATCTGCACTCTTAGCCCCCTTTACTCTTCTTGCATTTTTCACAGAGCTCTAACTTAAGCATCGGAGTGTTCCCACCGGGCAAGTCCCCGGGGAATTCCTCGTCTTCTCCATCTCAGGTACCACCCAGGAGCCACGCAACCGCCAACTAAGAGTGACCGGATCGCGCACCATCAATTTGCATTGCAACCAGACAGTTTAATTAAATCTTTTCATTGCTTTTTTGTTCCAAAAAATCTATGGGTTATAGTAATTAAGAGAATTTAATGGCAATAATCAGTTAAACAAATTTGAGAAACATAAAAATTAACGAAAGAAAATAATACAAAATACAAGGTTTTGCACTCTACATATTTATATTTGTACTCCTTACAAACTGAGCCTTCATTACAGAACAAAGAGTGCAAATCAGACTGTTTCTTTCATCTTTTTCCTTAGAGAATTTAAGTTTCCATATATAGTGCAGTAGTATATATATAAGCGGCTAGGCTTACGCGTAACAGTGGAAACAGGGTGGAAAGAAAGCTTTAAATGCTATCTATCTTCCCTTGTAAACTTATATTTACTTTCAGTAATTATTTGAACTGAAGATAAACCCCTGAATGAAGCACGTTTTTCTTCTTGGAATTATGAATTATCAACCATATCCGTAAGCAAGCTCAGCACATTAGCTTCTTCTCTTGATTAATTTTTTTTCTCTCTTTAATTAGCTATAATTAATGGCTGAAGTACACCTCTTTCCTGACTGACTTAGTTCCTCCTCCATCAGAAACAGAAAAGAACGAGTTATTCCCAACCCCATAAAATTTCAGCTAAGCGTTACAGAAGAAGAGGAAAAGGAATTACATGTAAATAAAATTAATAAGTGACAGATGAAAAAAAAAAACTTCATCTCTACTTATACTTTGAAACGGGAAAATTAAAGCCGGATGACGAGGGAGATAGAGAGATATTTCCAACTAGAAAAGAAACAGAACAAGAAAGGAAGGGGACCCTCTTGGTGTTCATCCTGATCATGATCTTTCACAACCGGTGTTGTGATGAAGATGGGTTGGATTTTGGAAGATCACCCAGATTAGAGAATTTCTTCTTAAGCTCAATCATCAACTCTCGATTCTCTTGGTGGAGGAGGATAGCTTTCTTTCTCAGCTTCTCGTTCTCCTCTATGATGCTTTGGTTTTCCAAGTACAGCTTCAAGTTCTTCAATTCCATCTCTGTGCCCACTGCTACTGATACCCTCCTGCTCCTTCTCCTGTTAATTGTAATTCTTGGTATCAATATTATTTTCATCTACATACATACATATACAGAGAGAGAAAGAGAGAGGTATATGCGTACCTGGATAGCCGGAGGAGACGAAGCTTGGATCTTTTTGGTCGCCATCGGCGGAGTGGAGAGCAGGAAGAAGAATCTGGGTACCATGCTGAAGCGTTGATAAACATGGTTTCTTTCTGTTTCTCCTGTAAATTCTACTTCAGAAACACAGAAGATAGGGAGAGAGAGAGAGAGAGAGAGAGAGAGAGAGAGAGAGAGAGAGAGGAGAGCGGAAAGGGATAAGAAGGAGTGGAGATTTGAGAGAAGACGAGAGAGAGGACAGAATATATAAGATTGGAATTGGGTGGTCTGTTAAATGTTGGCGTTCGTATTGTTTGTGTTGGTATGGGAATTGGGAAGAGGAGAGAAGAAGAGATCCAGAATCCAGTCTCTCTGCTCTCTATTACGTTCACAAATGATGGCACAAGGCCTCATCATTACTTACTATCGACACACACCCATCTCGATTTCTGTGCTCTCCTTTGATTTATGATTTTTTAACCCGACCCACAAGCCCATTTTTATTTTCGGATCATATCCTCTGTGACTGTCAAAAATAAAAATAATTCCCCAGCTTGACCTGTTGAACATTGGATCCCTCCTGGAAACTTCGCTTCACAGTTTTAGCCCTAATCCATTGGAATGATGAAATTAATGCTTTCGAATTGATGGAAATCAGACGAAGAACAAACGCCCCATTCGTTTGATTCAATTGTCTTTTTCTGGGTTCCACTCAAGATTTTTTTTTTCACTTCCTTTCCTCCATTAATTTCCCAACGACTCCTTTCAAATACACACTCTATCCAATCTGGCATTTTACTACGGAACAAGGCTTCTGTCATGTGTTCTGAACCAACCCACCTGGTAATGTCGAAGCTCAGTGTACTTTTTTTCCTTCCAAAGCCCAAACCCGAATTTTGATCAAGCAGACCCAACTTGCTGTCTCTTACACCCTCCCATCTCCGACACTTATGAATTCACCAGTCATCGACTACGACCCAAAGCTTTTATAGAGTTTTGAATTGAGGTTTTGATAGAAAATGTGGCGCTGGTGGTGGTAGGGTTGTTACTTTGATGGCAACGAGAGGACGGGTTTGGGTTGTCCAAAAACTGCTCAGTTCTCTCTCTCCACTTGTTGCCAATCCACAGAACAGACCCGGAAGACCATTCAAGAGTGTATTATTGAAGGTTTTATAATTGTTTATTGACGGATGGATTGGATCCATACAGAACAACAGAGCCGGTGAGCCCAATTGAAAGAACTTTTGAACAACAAAAACACCAAAAGTCGGGTTAAAATTGGGTTCGATTAGATTATCTCTCCAAACTCCAAAGCAACAATTCCTTACAAAGTAATTGAGTACCACTACTTCCATGTCTCTCTCACTCCAAAAAGCAATAATCATGAAGAAATTAACCCCCTGTAAAGCAACCCGCTTGCTTCTCACGTGATACCCATCTCTGTGGAGAGAGACATGGAAAGAAAGAGAGAGAGAGAGGGTAGTCATTGTAGTTAGGTTTCTCCTTCTGTCAATTGAGTGCAAATAACCATGATCATTTATTTGGAAAGTGAAAATCCCATTTTGGCTGCTTCTTCTTCTTCATCATCACCTCTCTCTCTCTCTGAGTTGGTACTGTGCAGGGGGACTCACTTCACTAATCCTGTTCCTAGATTGAAGCTTGTTACTGTTGAAAGGATTTCCCATTCATTTAATGATCGATCAGACAGAGGGACCCACTCACCACTGAATCATCGGATGAGTAGTCCCATTCTGAATTTCTGATCATGCTACTGCTGACCTACTTTGGAATGATTGGTTGCATTACACTTGTTCTGGTGTAAGCATTTTGTACCATATCATTCTGGGGGATGGGTGGATCTGGATCACCCACCAATGGCCATGGCCAAACCCATCATCTGCCGCACCTACTGGTTGGTTACAGTGATGCACTGTGCACTGCACATCTGACGGTCGGGTTGTCTCCATCCCATGTCTACGGTTCAGATCCAATTATCTTTGTATTAGGTAGAAAAGATGATTCAAGATGCCAACTTTTTCTCTCTTTTCCAACTGATGAATGATGATCGATAACCAAAGCCAAACCCAGAATGATAGTAATCATCTCCATGTTTTATGAGCTATTTGACTTACTTGGGAGGATGACCCACTACCATCAAATCTGATTTTTTTTCTTTCTTCTGGCATGGTAGTAATCCAGTGCAAGAACCCCAAAGGTTAGATTGAATCTCAACCATCAACCCTTGATCATTGATTAGCAGGAAATGGAACCCAACAGTTAAACATGGTGGTTGGATTAAAGTTAAACCAATGTTTTAAAAAACGATCTAGAACTGAAACTGTTCTGGCCACTGGTTTTTAGGCTGACGGTTCAATTATCTAATTCAAATAGATAGCTTGTTCTGATAAAAATTAAAAAAAAAAATAAAAACGGTCAAAAACTATTGAATAAGTTGATGATTCAACTATCCAGATCAATGAATCATTAACCGATTTAATAATTTTTTACCAGAAACCAAATTTGGGATTAAACGGAACCGGTTGCAATTCATCAATCATCTGCACTCTACAGTAGTCCAGTTCCACCCCCAGAAAGATTTGTCTGGTGGCTGAATTTATTAGCATCCTTCTCCACGGGGAGGAAAGAAAGTAGAGGGAGCCTGGATTGGTGGGCCTGAGGGGAGTGTGGTCACTGCAGCAACTACAGAAAATGGTCCAATGCACTCGATTTCATTCTTTAATAAGAATAGAAATCCTCTCTCTCTCTCTCTCAAAACACTAGAGTGAGCCTTTTGTTTTGTGGACCATTAGAAGGAAAAGGCCGGTTGTTGGTTTCTCATTGTTACCTGAGCTCTCTCAACTTTTTCATCCATCTCTCATTATATAGATGTTGAACACAGAAATCTAAAATCAAATGTTATTTGGAGGGCCAATGAGTTGTTCCTTTTATTTTTCTGATCTCTGCATTAGATGATGATGATGATGCCCTTGTCTCTATGGACGGATGGACTCCATAATCCACTGTCATCATGCCCTTCTGAACTTTGAACAAGGGAGGCTGAGCCATTTTGAAGGCGGCTAGGATCATTCACCAATCTCAAGTAACTCTCACCCCATTTCTAGTTTACCACAACAAATCAGCCTAGAAATGAAGGCCTACTTGTGCCCAATTGAAGAAAATATTCAAAGTATCAACACTTTTGAAACTCAAAATTAGTACACCCAGAGTTTATTTCTATTTGAAACTCTGTTTTTCTTTAACTTTTTGTTATTTCTTTTTATTATTTTAGTAATTTGAAAGTGTACATATCACATTGATTATTAACATACAAAACAATTGAAAACACCTAATTCACCAATATGATGCGATTTTGAACATTGATTTGAAGTAGTGTCCACAAGGATCATTGATGACGATCATCATATTCTCCTTCTGTGGTCCAACTTACTATCCCCCTCTCTACCACTCAACAGCCTAATGTTCTCCAGAGAAAATAGATTGCACTCAAGAGCAGTCACTACCAAGTGGATGCATGATGCACCCAATATTTTAAAAACTGACCCAAAAATAGAACCACATTAGCCACTGGTTTCTGAGTGAGAGCAGTTCAACCGTCCAGTCCAAACAAATAACTCACAACAATTAAAAATAAAAATAGCCAAAAACCATTGTCAGGGTTGAACAAATCAACAGTTTGACCGCCTGCCCATCGCCTATGAGAATGAAGCCAAAGCAGCGCAGCTTAATGGATTGAGATGCAAACAGGAAGCAGCAATCCCCACCTCAGCAGACTAACCCATTTTTATATCTGCATAATTGATGCAAGTAACCATGTAATGATTTTATATACGTAAATGGGGACCAACCTTCGATAGCCTGTACGAGAATGGTTGCATCCACCTAATAGGATACCAAGATTATTAGCACATTAGTGATAGGTACATTTCCACTCGGGAATTCAACCAAATATCTAAATAAATTGGATCAACTGCGTTCATAGGCGGTTTAGATGTAATTCTGAGGGGGGAACGGGGAACCTAGTAAATAAGCAAGCAGACCCCGTCCAGTCCACAATCAGTTTGGACAGATTGGATGGACCAACAAGACATATTGGATTGGACTAATTCAGTCCAAAATATTTGTTAGATTAGATTGGATCTGGTCCATCCATAATAAGTTTATACTGGATTGGGTTGGATTAAGCCAATATCTGGTCCATTGATATAAAATAAGAATATAGGTGTCAATGGACCGGGTTTGGGTTGAAACCAATCTAAATCAAAATGAATTTGAACCGATTGGATGGTCCAGACATTGAATTGGACCGGTCCAAAACATTCATTGGATTGGGCCTGATCCATTTATAATCAATGGACCGGGTTTAAATTGAAACCAATCTAAATCAAAACAAATTTGAACAGATTGGATGGTCCAGACATTGAATTGGACCAGTCCAAAACATCCATTGGATTGGGCCTGATCCATTTATAATGGATTCACATTGGACTGGATCGGATTGTACCAAATCAAGTCCAATTGGCACGCCTAACCACGAAGAATCATATTATTGATTATGTATATTTCAAGGCATCATCAGAACCACCTCTAGGAAATTAGGTAGATCCTTTTCACCGAAATCTATGGAATATGGATGTACAGAACTAATAAAGAGACGTAAGAACAAACTTGAAATGCTTCACATGCAACATCCCTTTAACAGTTGAATGAGACTCTAAAGTCTAAAGATATCATCTTGTGATGATTAATACAGAACATTAAAAATGTCCACTATTACAACTAGGGCACTGGAGTCAATCCCCTTGCTTAACAAGTTCACTTAACTTGCCTGCTGGTATTCACCATCCATTCTACCCTGCCTTTGGGCTTTAAAGTCCCCATCTGCTGACTACCCACACAAGGCTACAACACTACAGCCACACATCAAGAGCATCTCCCTATGTATGTTCCCCATGTGCAGCTATAGTGTCTTGTGGGTAGGGCGTGGGCAAGGTTCAAAGTATCCTACGTATCGGCAAGCAATTGATACTAAACCAATTTTCAGCATAAAAACTAAAAAACATAATGTTTTGTGGTATCAAAATGCTTGATGCGCATGTTCATGCATATCAGGTGTATCAATACTTTAAACCATGGGTGTGGGTAGAAGATCCCAGCTTAGGCTTTAGCTGAAAACTAATATTCCTTTTTATCGTTACGTAAGATCGTGGGTTCAAGTAGGAGTGGCAATTTTTTACCCAACCAGCTGAACCAACCCAACCCACCCAATATCTAACCCGTCTATTTACTTGGCAGATTGGAAATGGGTAGATCACCCATTGGGTCAATTTGAATGGGTTAGGTCGGGTTGGATTGTGGATAACCATTGGGTTAACCACTAAAGATGTAAGTATTAATTCCTTAACCATTCTTTTTTTAATTTTCTTAATTTGAATGAAATAATTCATAATTAATGCATTAATTATTGACTAAAATTAATTTTGTCGCGAATAGACACACTTCAACCAAATCGACATAAACCCAAATCAACTTGACCCGAGTCTGAACCAGCTCAACTTGGTCTAAATATGAACAAACCCGATCACCTTGGTTCGATTCGTTTGGGTCAATCAGCCTAGTTTGAACCCAAGCCAACCCAAGGTAGGCCAATCCAGGTTGACCCGAATTCGAAATGGGGCCAAACTGCATGGTTCAGCACGGACCCGGTCCGGCCCGACCCAAAATCCGCCCCAGCCTGCTTTGACCCGGTTTGGATTGTTTGATCCGGCTCATATCTGTACAATCTGACCCGAATATGGACCAATCCAATTTACTTCCATTGACCTGCTTTGGGCCAATCGGTTCAGTCCCAAACCCGTGCACAAACCTAATATGGACTGGTCCAAATCAATCTGCCATTGACTAAATCGATCCGGTCTCATCCGACCGGACTAATCCAAATCCAAATCAATCTGCCATTGGTCTAACCGGTTTGAACCTAAGTTGTTCGGTCAAACCCAAAACCCAAACATAGTCAAATGGCTTCATCGCTTGTATGAAAATAGCATGCATGCAATGTGATTTGAACCTTCACCACTTGTGTAAATAGCAATTACTATTACCATCAAGCTATGACCAACTTATTTGTCAAGATGGAATTAGTTTTTTGTTTTAAGTACATAAATATAAGATTAATTGGTTTGGACGGGTTGGATTGGGTCAAAACGGGTTTGGGTTGAACCCAACCCATTTAATTTTATATAACTGGGTCATTAATGGATTGACAGGTTAGATGGRTTGGGTTGAAGCTCAACCCAAACCAAACCCAACCCATTTAATTTTATATAACTGGRTYATTAATGGATTGACAGGTTAGATGGATTGGGTTGAAGCTCAACCCAAACCAAACCCAACCCAACCCGCCCAATTGCCACCGCTAAGTTCAAGTCTGAGAATCACCACTTTGTGCAAAAAAGTGGCAAAGGTTAGGACCGTATTCAGTCCACCCCTTCCAAGAGGCCAAGACCCCAGATAGTTGGGACCAACATTGGGTAATGGCCTTTTAGATCCATTTCCTCTCACAAGTGAGAATCACCTTTTTTTTTATCAAGACAAGCACTCTATAACATCACACAAGGTTAAAGAATAAATTTACGCCTTGCAGACCGAGTAGGACACAAGAAAAAAGAATCACTGAAGCACAAGATCATAACCTTGCTACAGTATTTTACAGATGATCATGCCCTCCCTGAGATGAATTGTATATGTGAAATGCAGCAATACACATTGTGAAATTACCAACAACTGTCAATGCTGCTTGCAGAGCCACCAGTACCTATAATTTGTACAGAAAAATATGAGAGAGAGAGAGAGAGGTTGCAGAATACAGATGGAATTACTGGTGGGCTTCGCATGATTGCATGCATGCTCCATGAATATGGCAGATCCAAACCGTCCACCAGGTAGGAGATCCTACAGATCAGCAAGTTCAATTCTACAGTCCACATTAGCCCTATGCCCCAACCTTGTATTGACTGTTTCCCCAACTAAAATTAGCTATTTGAATTTTCAATTTTTAATACAAAACGGCCTACCAAGAAGGGCTTATTGTGGAGACACAGCAAGCGTTTCTGGAATGAAACTTGCTCCATGAAGAGAACCCAACCAGATAATTATGTTGGGTCCTCTTGGGCTCCCAACTAGATTGCCCCATATAAAGGTTCCTTAGTTGGGTCAAGTAGAGAACCTCCTTGGATGATCTGATCCCAGCAATTTCTTTCACGTGAAGGAACCCAGCATCCAAATCCAGAGTTTTATTCATCAGACAACTGGCCCCATGCATGAGAAACTATACAAGAGAGGGGAAAAATAAAATCTGGGCTAAACTATCAAGTTCTAAACAAGCATCTTCACCTACATAATAAAGAAAACATGTTTGCTTACCTCAAGAGACTCGGAATGATAGAAGAAATGCCATGTGCATACACAAAATACCCCACCTAGCAGGGGTACCTAAACCAGTTAAGATTTAAATTCAGAAAAGTCCATTAGAGGGGAAAAACTGAACCACATGTAGAAATATCACATTATTTTACAGGTAAAACTTTCTGAACATTTAGCCACTGGAAATTGTAAAACCAAGCATGCCTTTTGTTCCACTAATTCTGCAATGCCTTGAGGAAAGAACAAATTAAAGAAAAAGTTGCATGAACTATGAAGAGATATCCTGGTTTAAGAAGTATTTGTGTGTTAGACTTAGTGGTTAGTAGTTATGAGTTCTTTTGACCAAGGGGAGATTGGCAAATATAAGGTCCAACATTGCTAATTTTCTTTTCTGTTTTCTTACTCCTCATCGTGGAATAATTTGAATTACCCCTGGGTTTCAACTCTAGCTATCATGCTAAACATAGATCCCCCAATACCTAAAGAATATTTTCCTGATAACTTTTCTCACTGGTTCATTGCATATGTACACAGTAAGCATTAGTGTTTCCCTTAAAATGTGAAAAAGTTCCTCTCTTATTGTTATGTGAAAAACTTCCAATTCTTAGAAACCAAAAAACTAAACCCTTTCAAGTCTCAAAATCTAATCCATAACCATCTTTTTTTCCTTCAGATAATATGAAAAAAAAAACAGCAAAACTCACTTTTTTGATGACAAAGGAAATTTTTATTAAATGAAAAAAAAAAAAAGAGAAGAGGACAAGACAAGGTGATAAGTAATCAACCAAGAGAGAACTAATCTAAAAACATCCCACTCTCTCATGTAAAGATCCATTGATAATATCATTGATTGATTAACTCAATGCATTTAAAGCAAGATGCACACAAAGTGCAAGGGGTTCCCAGAGCCTGAGATACAAGGAAAGGCATGTCTGAAGAAAGTGAGGCTTCATTGTTGGGGAAAAAATCAAAAGAAAAGCTTTATATTATGAAAATAAAAATTCTGAAAAAAAAATCAAAAGAGCCTATCAGCTAAACTTGTTAGAGAATTTTGCCATTAACACTAAGGTAGTAACTGTTTAAACATCATAGGTACAATCCACAATGTAGTTAATTATCTATTCAAGGCACGACTAGGCCCCCTTGGCTGGCCATCTTGCCTAAATGCTTTGTTTATAGCAACAAGGCACCTGTCTAGGCAACAAGGTGCATGTCTAGGCATTACTTTGTTTTAAAGTTTCACTATTGAAATTTAAAATATCCAAGGGGAGAATGGTTTCTTTTTCTTCTCTCTCTCTCTCTCTCTCTCTCTCTCTCTCTCACACACACACACACACATATATAAAATTATAGCCTTCTTTAGTTGCTCATTTGATATGCAATTGCTTTATTTAATACTTGTTATATTAGTATTATTTTTGAAAGTATTGAAAATGAAATCAACATATTTGAAATATCATTAATTGTCCTAGATATGATGACTTACCATGTTTTGAGAAGAAATTTAGTGTTCTTAGTAAAGAGAATTGCTATTTTTTCAAATAAGATGCATCATCCATGAATAATGATGAATGGTATATAAAACTAGGGAAATAGGCAGAACTAAGTTTTTTTTTTTATGAAATTGTTATCACTCTAGGCAATTAAGGACTAAGTGCCCTCAGCCAGAATCGCATGACAACTATGCTTGGTGCACCTTTGGTTTACCTAAAGATTGGTGTTACAAGGAATAATAAATTTAGCCATTTAGTGCCAAGGAGTCAATATGTTTCCCTGCTCAGTCCTCTCTTGTTTGATTACCAATTCAAGTAAATCATCTTCCTATTAGCTCACAGTTACTGAAGGAGCTCAAACCTACATGCATATTTTTCTTCAAAGTGTTGTCCTTCTCACTTAATTCTATAGACCCAGAAAAGAAACACTCTTCTCACACCGACGGTGCCCACTGATATCAGCAAATCCCGCAAAAATTTCACAGCAGGAACTCCATGTACATGACAAATTATCAGAACACATCACAAGAAAACGGAAAATTCAAGGAAAGAAATTGAGGGGGGATGTCTCTCTTACCATACCCCAAGAGAACCCCTTCCAAGATTCATACTCAGATTTCTCTCCATATTGCCAAACCAAAGCCATAGCTGTAATCCTTCAGCAAGAGAGAGAAAACCCAATAATTTAAACAAACAAATAGAAAAAAGAATCCAATACCTCACAAAGTCAATGTAAAAACAGTACTAAAAATGCCCAAAAAAGTATTGACGAGTGAGAAAATAATATTGTCACCATTCCACAACGCTGGAGACATGAATAGCCCACGTCGGCAGCGAGAGTGCATTAGCAGGTTCGTTGAGTTGGAGAAAAGAAGGGAATTCGGCAGCAGAGGCGGCTCAGCCAAGGGTTAAGGCTAATCTTGCTCCAATGAGAGCTAGTACGGACCTTACGGTTCTGTGATTGCGATGAATATCGTGGATGATGGGTTTCGAGGTTTGTCTACATCTCCAGCGAGCGGTCGACAATGGCGGAAGGTGGGTTACAGTTGAAGGGATTGAAGTGCTAGTTGGTTTGTAACAGTAAGAAGCCAAGGGCTTCAGAGAATACAACAATGCTGCAGTCGTCATGGTCGTAATATGTAGCCTGTATTGTTGGGATGATGATCAAACAACCACTGAAAGCCAAAAACTTTGGAAAATACAACAGGCTGTGTTTGGTTTGAAAGAATAGGTTGGGAAAGGATGGGAAAAGTAGGGAAACATGTTTAAGGGCCTAAGGGCAAATTGCATAAGTACCGTACGCTGCATTTGGAGTTTGAGACTAGGGGTGCAATTTGGGCGGTCCCAACCCGAGCCCGAACCGGCCCAGCCCGAAATTTTAGGCTTGGATTTTTGGTCCTTGGGCTGGGCTCGGGCTCAAGAAATTGATCTTTTTTATTTTCCAGGCTGGGCCTGGGTTTAGCCTTTAGGTAGCCCAGACCCGGCCTGAGCCCCACCCAACTATACACATATGTATATATGTTAATTTTGTATATATATATTTGCATAAAAACATATATATGTATAATTTTAGAGTAGGTTCATTGACCAACCCGAGCCCAACCCGAGTTCATCAAATTATAGTGCGGGCTGGGCTCAAATTGGGAAAATCAGGCTTGGTCCGGGCTCAGGCCTTAAGTTCAAATTTTAGGGTCGAGCCCAGGTTGATCATAAACCCGGCCCAACCCACCCCTTGCACCCCTATTTGAGACTTGAGAGTCCGCGTCTGATCCTATTTGTTGGATTCGTATATATATAACATATTTATCTATAAAAAGACATGTATGTATTAATATACTTATTTATAAATATGTTTATATAAACTTTTGTGTTTTTTCTTTTAATAATTTATTAAATTTTTCATAATTTGAATCGAATCGGATCATATTCAGATATTTGACATCCTTTAAGGGATTTGGATTCAAATCACCATTAGTGAGATCCAATCAGATTTCAGATTCTATTATCGGATCAGATTCGGATATATACCCTGATTCAAATCTGATCCAATCTATTTGCATCACTAGACGTCTCTGTCCAACAAAACACATTTCAAATCCCTACCAAAATGATCAAACACCCACATATCATACATGGAGTTCGGATAAACTACCAATACACGATGTTAATAACATCCCAACCAGCGACTTCAACCATACATGGGGAACATCTCTCCGTGAATGACAAGAGAAATACTCTCAATGTGTGGCTGCAGTGGGTGGTTGGGACTATAATGATAGCGTTTGTTGATAGCATATCCCTACCCTCATACATGGCGGATTCGACTTTTATGATGAGATCAAATCTGCCCCCCCATAATGTCCCACAGCACATGAGAACATCTCCCGGTGATAATACCAAAAATAATAATATCATCAGAAGATATTTCCAATATACGGCGGGGATGTGCTGTGGGACATTGTGGGAGCTGATTTAATCTCTTTTATGATGGATCCAGTATCACGTTGAAATATCAAATGTGCAGTGTCAGATCATAAGGCGTTGGAACATGTTTGGTTGGTAGGAATTCTCAACTTGTACTTTGGATGGAAATCTCACCTTAGGGCCTAAATCTGTCGTTTTTGTACCGAAGCTTCCAAAAATATACATATTTTTTATTGCCAAATATATACATGTAAGTTCAACTATATTAAATGAATACTACAGTGAGGGGTAAAATTAGGAAAATACCCACGTTATAATTTCTATTTTTCATTGTTCATCTTTCTTCTACATTAAGACCATAAACACAAATCAGTAGTCGTAAAGTAAGCCTCTGAAAGTAAGATCACCCCCAATGATCGCCAGTTTGTATCTGAAATCCAAATGTAAAAGAAGTTGAATAGTGAAAAAACAGAATCAAAACATGGGTTTTTTGTAAATCTACTCCTCACTATAATGTTAAGTTGATAAAATTGGACTTAAAATTATATTTGGTTTGAAGGAAAAAGTAGGAAAAGGAAAAGAAATGTAAGGAAATGTAAGAAAACCTTTACAAAGTTTTTATATGTTTCTCTACCTTTTCCTTCTTTTTCCTATCTTTTCGATTTCATTATATTTCCCTACCTTTTCCTTCCTTTCCCTACCTTTCCTTCAAACCAAGCATAGCTTAAATGTATATTTCTGGAAATTCATATACTAAAGCGGCACCTTTGAAAGTTCAGACCCTAAAGTGAGAGTGTGAGACTACCCCATAGTATCGGATACTTACTCAATCTCTAAATAGGGTTGTTATTCCATCACATCTGCGTCCCATCTGATTATCAAATCTTTGAATCTAAATCCCATCTAAAATCAAATTATAACTAACTAGCACTAATGTTTCATATTTTGGCACGATACACCATATACGAAGCATAAGTATCATATCTTTTAATGCTTGATACAAGATGTGGTGAAAAATTGGTGGCATCGTCTTGTTTTCACCATATCAGACTATATTGCGATGTATCAAGGGCGTACAAATCAATATGGTACGAAAAAGATACGGACAAAAAAAATAAAAGGGGAAAGAAGCTTTCCATCCCCTTAAATAAGCATTTTTTTCACTCCACAAATGACTCTAAAACTTTAAAACCTCATTTATTGAGTGTTAGATATGCAAAAAAAATAAAAAAGAAAAAAAAAACGAAAGAAACAAGTGTTAATTATAAATCCTTTTGAAGTTTTTCAAGTTTTGAAAAATATTGCAAAAATAGGTAAGCTTTTTCAAATTTTCATAATATCTTGTAATTTTTTTTACTTGAATGCTTGGAAATGTTTAAATTTATGTTGATCTACATTTTTTATATTCAAAATCACATTTTTTTGTGTTATGAGTAGATCTATGAAAATTTTATGAAGAAGATTTGGGGAAATATAAAATAACAAAAAAATTTGAAAATGTATTTTTCTATTTACCTATAAAGACTTAGTATGTTTTAAATCTATGGATCATCTATCATATCCATAGAGCAATTGAAATTTCCTTTTCAATATTTAATTCATTTTTATATTTTTAAAATTAAAAAATAATTTATTAATTAATTATATTTTGTGATATAATAACGAGAATTGAATATATTATAGATTTATGGATAATCTATCATATCCATAGAACAATTTAAATGTCTTCTTTGATAATTATTTTTTGAATATATTGTACAATGTTTATTTATTTTTTATTTTTATCATTTTTGAAAATAAAATATAAATAGTAATTATTTAAATAAGAAAAAAATTATTAATTATATTTTCACTTAGAAGTTGTGCCATTGCATGTTTTATGGTTGGATAGGACAGTTAGGTTTTTCCATCCCTTAAAACTTAAGAATTATAATTTATAAATTATAGTTAAGCATATGGTTTGTTAATGAAATTATAATTGATTATAATATATTTCTTCATAAAACCATTAAAATATATTAACTTAATGTATGTACAACTCATTAAAGCCTTATATTTAGTGTTATTGATGAATTTTTATGATTTATTGAAATATTTATAATGTTTCCATGTATATCTATATATATCTTAATTTTTTTTCCAATATGTATACATATCCAAGGTGCATTCTAATACATCTCTTAAAATTGTCTTTTCATACTTTGAACCTTGAATGACCTATCCATTTATTATATATGTACAAGTCAAAAGTTTTTTAAGCCATGTATAAGTTAACAGTTATTCTCAAAATAATGGGTCAAGGTAAAAAAAAAAAAAAAAAAAAAAAAAAAAAAAAAAAAAACTGGTGGCATAACTGATTTCCGAGTGGAACGATCCAATCGTCTTGGTCAACAATGATTTTAAAACAATTAAAGCATTTTGATTCCGACTGCAAACCAAATAGACCCTAATTATATTTTCTGATGCAAACAAGTAGGTATATATTGAAGCATCAAGATGGAAAGCATGAGGGTCATGGTCTCGACAAGGCTTTGAGGATATTACCTTGCTTCTTTTTACATGCTTCTACTCAATAAATATCCTATATACACCTAGAGCTAACAACCAAATGGCCCATAAACTAGCTACATCTACATGCTTTGGTCAAAAGGACATTGGTGTATCATCTATAAGTTTTCTCTAGCAATATATTTTTGTTTCTTGGGTTATGGGAAAAATAAAGAATTTATGATGCAAGAAATCCATTTGGTCTAGGAGCCTTCAGAGTTCAGAGCACCTATACTCATGACTACCTCTTTTGACTTCCTCTATAGTGGGAGCAGCCACCAAAAACTCATTATCATCATTCAAAATGACAGAATGAACAAATCCAAAATCCTCATCTCTAGATGTTTTGAATAAATTCAAGAAATAGTTCACAAGCACCCTTCCTAAATTCTCATGATTCCAAAACCAATTACCTTCATGTATTTGATCCAAAGCTGGAATTAATACCCACAAACCTTCATCTCTAGATGTTTTAAATAAATTCAAGAAATAATATTTTTCGACTTCAAAACATGGTCACTTTATGAAAATGGTAAGTATTCATGTCACCACAATAAACCTGATTTTTGCTTGCAGGACATTTTCAACTTACCCATATATTTCTCTTTCATTATTTCCAATTTAATAATCATATCATCCATAGTTTCATCATTCTCTTCACTCTCCAATTTCATTAATTGATAATCTATCCATTTAATTCTCTAATATATCACCAAAATTTTCCCTTATTCCATATTCAAACTTTTCTTCTAATTTTGTCTTACTTAAAATTGTGTTACTTATAACCTCTTAATTTCTTCCATTCCTCTTGAATGATCTCATTACACTCAGATTCATAGAGCCAAGCTTCAAAAAATATAAATGGTTTTGGTTTAAAATTTTCATTCGAGTTAATGAAAAATAAAATGGGCTTAGATCCCCATCTAGGGCAAGCTCTATCTTTCAAAGTGTTAAACATGTCAAGGATCTCATCTGAAACAAAAGGCACATCCAGTTTTTTTCTCCCTTCTACCCAAACTTGATTCACTATTGGACCAAGTCTTTGCACTTACACCTACATTAATTTCTCTTAAGTAAAACTTATTAATAAATTCTATAAAGATAGCTTTTGAGATATCATTAACTCTCCTTTCACCCTCCTCATAGCTATCTAACTCATCAACCTGATTGACCATGAAGTCAAGATTAAAATCTCCAATAACACAAGCATTTGCTAGCCTAATGAAATCATTCAAATTATTTGTAAATTGGTTCCAAAAGGAGAAACAATTTTTCTTACAAGGCTCAACATGCATAAAACATAATAGGGAAAATTGTAGACTTACCCGGGTCAACATTTAAAATAATGTTATAGGTTGGTTTAGAAATCAACAAAACTCTAACAACTAGCTATGCATTTCAAATTATAAAAACCCTCACCATGCCATCGGAGGCTTATGTGGTTGTTGCCAACATGGGACACTTAATCCATGTTGGATGCAGCAAAAAACCTATATTGAAATTGCCTTTAATGATGGGTTATTTGAAAAATTAAAAAAAAAAAAACGGTTTTCAATTTCTCTCCCACTCCCTCTGTCTTTCAATCTCCCTCCCACTCTCTTATTCTCATAGTCGTTTCTCTCTACTCAACGACTATGTGATTTGCAAAATGGGTTTTACATTCTTTCTGTCAATCTCTTGTTCTCTCCCTTTCTATCAATCCATCGTTCTCCCTTAATCTCTCTCATGTTGTTTCTCGATTAACTTCTCTTTCTCCCTCATTCTCTCTCTCGGTCGAGCTCTCATTCTCCCTTATTCTCTCTCTCAGCCAATCTCTCATTCTTTCTTAATCTCTATCGTTCTGTCTCAGCTTCTCTCTCACTCCCTCTCTTTTTTTTTTTCTTACACACTTGTAGGGTATTAACCAGACTGTATTAAAGCACATAAGACCAACTCAACAGAAGTTTATAATTTGATTGCACAAGTGGTTGGTCTTATGTTATGTTATATGGTCTGATTAATACCATATAAGTGTGTAAAAAATAAAAAAATAAAAAGAACAATTTATGGAGCAGGAGAGAGACTGAGAGGACACGATAGAGATTGAGATAGAATGATATATTGACCAAGAGAGAGAATGATGGAGAAGGAGAGATTGACCGAGAAAGAGAATGGGAGAGATTAAGGGAGAACGATAGATTGAGAGAGAGATTGACAAAGATGACGTAAATATAGAAATCAAAAACCATTTTTGTTTATTTTCAAATCATACTTCGTTGAACAGAAAGAGATAACTGTGAGAGTGAAAGAGTGGAAGGGAGATTGAAAGATAGAGGGAGTGGAAGAAAAACTAAAAACCCTTTTTTTTATTTTCAAATAACCCAACATTAAGGGCAATTTCGGTATAGGCTTTTTGTTGTGTCCAACATGGGTTAAGAGTATCATTTTGGCAACAACCACATAAGCCTCTGATGACATGGCAGGGGTTTTTATAATTTGAAATATAGATTCGGCTGTCAGAGCTTTGTTGGTTTTTTAACCAACTTCCAACCTAACGTTAAATGTTGAGTCGATTTAGATTATAATTTTCCCAACATAATAGCCAATTACAGTACAAAGGAAACAATTTAACTATATAGATACCATATTGGTTGGTTATAAGAGAACAAAATTCCACCAAAATATTTTCTTTCCAAAATAAAACAAAACCACTAGTTAGCCCTTCAAAAGACAAAATAAAGTTATTGCTATTAGGACACTTAAAGAGCTTTACACTTTTTTTAATTTTTTTGCTTTATCTTCCTCTACTTTTGTTTCAAATAAAAATAGAAAATTGGGGGAATTGTTTTTAACAAAATTCGTAGCTTTTGTAAAACATTTTTCCTATTAGCTCCTCTACACTTCCAAAAGAAAATGGATAAAGAATCGTGTTTCATGGCCATAGCCCAACAAAAGAGAAAACCAAACCAAACCAGCAGCCTAGAATCAAGCAAAAAAAAAGTTGCGTTTTAGTACCACTGTTTTTACCTAAAACATTTTGGGTTGATCCATACAATTTGGTTATTTATATTGTCACAACACATGTGAGAGTTACTTCAGCTAGAATGGTTATTTACCCCAGTGGAGCAAGAAACACCAACTTAATGTTTCTACAAAACAACCCAGTGTTTTTGAACCATCGTTGACTTGGACAGCCAGATCATTCAGCCCGGGAACCATTGAGGCAACCGGTTCCGTTTCACCCCTAACCCGTTCTTTGGCTAAAAACCATTGACTTAGTCAGCAACCTTCTGGTCCGGGCAGTTGAATTGTCAACCTGTTCCACTGTTCGACCCAGACAACAATTTTGGTTGTTTTCATTTTAATTATTTTTTATTTTCTTAATTTGGAATGTGCCATCCTTTCGAACTAGACAGTCAAACCACTGACCCAAAAACCAATGGCCAAAGTGATTCCGGTTCCAAGTTTATTTTTAAAACATTGAAACAGCCTCTCACATGCATTTTTACGGTATGCCTATTTCAATTATAAATAGCCTCAAATAACAATTGTATGACATTGTCTTGTTCAAGCCAAAAATGCTAATAAATTCAACCAAAGAAAGCCACTATTTTAGGAAAACTAAACAAACCACAGAAATTGGAGATAAGACACAACAAACAAGCAGCGAAAAAAAAAAACAACCAAGGAAACTAGGGAAAAAAACAAATCTTGCAGAAAATAACATACATGTAAAATAGAAAAGAAAATATTACCCCCAAAGTCGAATAAAAAATCAGAGCATAATCAACTAATTAAGGGAAGCAACACCAAAGAACATAAACCCTCACCAAACAAAGCAACTAATATGAACACAAATGACAAGAAGAATATGCTAGAGTAAATCTATCACATATTTTAGAGTTCCTTAATTCTAAGTTTTCTAACAATTAACATCATCGTTGAATGTTGACAGAAATGTTAAAATATCGATTTTGTCCTTTGTTATGTGAATAGATAATGAATAAAATACCCAAAATTGTGCTTTGGACCATAGAGATAACCCTCCTTGTGAACTACAGCCAGGAGAGATGGAGAGAGATTGTGAACTACCGCCAAGTTAAAGTGAATCTTGGATCAAATCAGTAACAACCCTTTTAAAATACATGTGGATAAACTAGGAAAAAAAAAGGAACAATAAAAAATAAAAAATAAAAAATAAAAAATAAAAAACAAAGCAGAGCCTAATGGAAACACTCTTTTCGTCTGTATAAATCCACTACAAGCTTTTCTTTCCTCTGTAATTCCGTCCCCTTCCCTTCAATCTCTCTTCCCATTTTTTTACACCCACGTGGAAAAATCTCACCGAGAACACATCGAATATCTGTATTCTGTACAAGATCCCCCATGAAGCCATGACCTATCAATATCAAAGCTAGAAGCATTACTTCATAATCCCCAGAAGTATCACTGCCTATGGCACGCTCCAGTTCCTTCGTTTGGTATTCCTTTTTTCCTCCATGTCCACCTCTGCTCGAGTAGTAACAACTCTAGTGAGAGCCCATTCATATGTTCCATTCTAAATGATTGTCAAGCGAAGATACATACAATCATACCCTCTAATAGCTGGCCCATCTCAACAGGATTGGACACCATCAACATGGGCATGATGGACATGGATAGCAACATCCTATCCATGATCCATGATCCATCTAGATGACTGGACTTAAATTACATGGGCATGGAAAACGGAATAAGCCAAATAAATAGAATGGTACAAAGAGAAATGGATTTCAATAGAAACGTCACATATTTACAGCTCCATTCCCCTTTGCCCCAATCAAAAAAAAAAAAGGAAATTTCCCTGCACATTCCTCGGCAACCAATTGACTTTCTAAACACAACCCCAGATACTATCCAACAGAATCATCTTGAGTAGCATCATCAGATTCGTCCATTGGTTCAACTTCACTATCCCGCCCCTCTTGGTCTGTACCCACCTTTGTATCATCAGTTGCTGATATGGATTCATCATCAGTATCACTATCATGGTGGCTTCCCTCCTTGGTATCTGAATCTGAATTAGAATTAGAAACCTTATTGTCTCTCTCTCCATAACCGCTACCCGCGAATTGCACCTCACAATCGGGAGCAACAATTTTAATCATCTCATTAAGTTTTTGGCGTTCCGCATTTGACTTGGTGGCTGCAGTAGCAGTAGAAGATGCCACAACCTGGCTCCCAGCAACCTGGCCATCGGAGCAGTGTAGAGCAGCAGCACATTCTCCATCACTTCTTGCACTGCCACAATCTTCACTATGAGGGGATTGATTCTCACCATGGACGGAAGGAGCTGTACTGAATGCCCAACTCCCAGCAACTTCAGAAGTCAAAAGATCAGCTGTTCTGATTGTGCCACCGGCTTCTGTATCTTCCATGGATCTCAGGACCTCACGTGGGTTATTGGATTGCGAGCAATTTGCATTTTCCTCGTGAACCTTGAGAATCTCTTCTTCATTTTCTTGAACCTGGGTATCATTGTCAAGCTGCATCTTGTCCTCCTGATCTAAATAGCAGCATTTCTTTAGATCAAAATTTCTCTCACTAAAGTTCACATCAATGGCAGGGCTTTCAGTCTCGAGCACTCTCTCAGTTTCAATAGGATCTCCATCCAGCACTGGTACCGTGTCAATCCCCTCAATCTCAGAACCAAAGCCCCCTTTAACAGAGCGGTCAGCACTCATGCATTCCGCATCTTGGGTATGTTGTTCTTGGCTTCTGATATCACAATCATGCTTCTCAGTAACACTAGCTTCATCACTCGTGCTCTCAACCTGGATTCTTACAACCCTTGGACTTGAGGACATGGAGCCTTCTTTTCCATGGCTGTTGCTTCGGTGAGCTGCTGTTGTTTCTTTCTCTCTTACTACAGTTCCACTTGTGTTCCCTTTTGTTCCATTGAGTTCAATATCGACATATGTGTTCTCATAGTTATCCTCATCCTCCAGAGTTCTCTGCATGGCCTTCAGCTGCTCCTGCTGCTTTGCAAACAGAACAGAAATCTCCTCAGTGGTGGAGTAAAATGCCCGTAGCTGTGTTTCCCTGTATGACATCAGCATGCAGAAATAAAATAAAACATTGGGTTACATCAGATACAACATAGTTTTCTCTTCAAATATAACTTGGAAAGAAAAACTTTTGAAAACAAGCTGCTTGACCAGTGAATGATACACTCACGCAAGTATTTGAACGATAAATCATAGATAAGTAAAATCAAATATTTGAAAGATCACTCTTCAATGGACTTTTGCTGTGACAAATTCCAGTTGCCACAACTTGAATATACCATGAATAACTCTGTATCCTAACTTTTTGTTTTTTATATCACAGAATAGGCGAGACCAAACAACAAGAATATCTTCTTCATAAACCATAGAATGGACTGCATTATTGCAGCCTCTAACATTAATGGACTGCATTATGCACCAGAACCCATCAGAACTCCGAAGTTAAGTGCGCTTGGGCGAGAGTAATACTAGGATGGGTGACCTCCCGGAAACCCCATGTTGCACCCCAACTTTTATTTATGTTCCATCAAAAAAAAAAAAGAAGTAATTTTTTCTTTCTTTATTTTTGGAATTGGTAACTGTTAATTTTGAGTCTAAATATAATGTAATAACAAGATGCCAACATCCCCAAGTATATACTGGTATACAGCCACTTATCCCACCATTACCATCAATTACTCATATTACAATTAAACTCAATACAATTTCTATTCACCCCTTATGCATCAGCCAAACTATTTGGTGACCTTTAGGCTTAATGGAAAGTTGAGTCCAAATTCCCTGGCTAGAATACCTTTTCTCTCTTATGGTGTGCCTGTATTGGCAAGGACATGCCTATTCTCTCCCAGCCAGATCACAGCCACCAAGTGCTTGCATTAGAAAGATAATATGTTTTACAAACCATAATGTGAAGAATATGGAAAGCAAATTGTGTTTGAATGCACATCTCAACCACTCTCCAATGTCGAAGAGAAGGAATATGGATTCCTATTTCTTACCGGAGAATAACTCTTTCCCTGGCACCTTGAAACCTCTGTTTCTCAATTGAGAGGTCACGAAGTGCATCAGCCATTTCAAGTTCAAGAGCAGAAACTTTTGCCCATGCTTCTTCTCGAGCTACCTGCTACCAACAGCACAAAAGAACCTCAGCTTAAAAAGTAAAAGGAAATTCATTGAAGTGCCTAAACTAAAAGAAATTCTTTGTACCCATTAGCTTTTAGAGGTAACCCTTCAAGGACAAGAAGAGCTTTTTTATTTATTTATTTTTTTTATGAATGAAAGAACAAGAAGAGCGTTAAATACCTTCATATCTAAATAAGATAAGCATCTTGCTAACTAAAGCAAACCAACAAACAAGATAATTCCAATAGCACAACAAGAATGTCCACGGTCCATCAATTGGGCCAAACTGGGTAAGTTATAATCACTAATAAAAAATAAAATAATCTCCAGAGTCAGAAAGAGAATATTGAAATGAAATACAATAAAAAAAAAAAGTAGTTGCATAACATGTAAACCATAGGAATGAACCACAGTGATTCAGTCATTAAAAAACACAAAGGCTTTTTTGGATATCAGGTAGTGGATTTAGAGATAATGCTACAGTGAGCTGAAATTTCGGCAGTTTTGGAAGGGATAAAAAGAGCTCAACGGCTGAATATTAGAAAACTGCTGGTGGAGGGCGACTCTAGGTTGGCTATTAACTGGATGCAGAAGGAAGATTTCAGTTTGTTGAAGTTCTCGAATGAAAAAAAGAAGATTAACCAGCTCACTCAAAACATGCAAATTCAGTTTCAGTGGTCCAAGAGGAGTGCTAATTCTTTGGCACTCTTTGGCCAAACAAGGGGTGGGAAGAGCTAGTTTCTTTTGGGCATTATTGTAATTTGATGTCTACTTTTAGGGAGGGTTAAGAGATTTTACCCCTCCCTCCTGTTGCATTTTTCTAGCATCTCTTTTTCTTAATAAAAGTTCTGTTATTGATCAAAAAAAATATAATACTACAGTGAGAGGTGAGCCAACATGACCATTCTACAGAAAACACAGAGCACATTTTCACAATTATTACTAACTACTATACAATTAGCATTCACAAGCTTGATGTTACAAAATAGTACACAGGAATAAGAGAACTGCAATACATAAGCATGCTCATGCTCATGTGTGTGTGCGTGCGTGCATGCGTGTGTGTGTGTGTGTGTGTGTGAGAGAGAGAGAGAGAGAGAGCCATGCAGGAGTATCTGTCTGATAAAAAAGGCCTTTGCTTTTATTTGCATGCTGTACTTTCAAGATTATTTTGGTCATTACAGTTTTTTTTTTTGGTAGAGATCAAGTGAATTCTAAGGGGATTATGTGACTTTAAGAGTTGTTTAAGTTGTAAGCAAAGCACTAGTCCAACAGTATTTCCATCCAACCATTTGATTCTGTTGTAGGTGGTATTCAACAATGTTATCATGTTCGTTCTCAGTGTTGCCTGCGAATGAAATCACCAATAAATTGTAAAGACCCATTCATTTTCCTCATTTTAAATTTTTGAGACAGAAAAAAGAAACTACTAAACCTGTCAATTGTGGGCACACTTTATCTATTTTGATCACTTTTTGCTGGTTTATGTGGGATACATACTTAATAAAGATGACCAATTAATATTGAAAAGTTTAGCAATAATCATTCAAATTGGAAAACACAAAATGATAGTGTGATGGACCTGTTTTCTTGAAAAAAAAAACAATCAAGAAACAATTACGTTGTCAGACATCCCCTTAATAGTTTAGATTAAGAAATGAGTGGCTAAAATGCTTTTGTAGAGTTTTAACATAAAGTTTGGTCCCCATTCATTTTAAACAATTCTACTTGATTTCGAGTCATCTATGCAGTTCTACTTCCATTCCAGCTTCAAGTAGTGTTTTCCTCTATCTCTTCAAGTATATTGCTGCGCTCAGACCAGCAGGTGTCTAAGTCTGGAACAGTATTGTTAAGGCAGCTAGGTGAGGCCTAAGTGTTTTGGGCTGGCAAGGCAAGTTGATACCTAGAGATATTTAAGCATCACCTAGGCAACATTTACCAAGTATTATGGAGTTTCACGTTAAAAATGAACTATAAATTAACAAATTAAATCAGTAAATGATGAAACGACATTTTTTTTTAATAAGCAAATGATGAAATGGCAATTTACACATGATCTTTAGAAATAATAAGATTTTGAAAAAAGAATAAACTCCTCGGTTCAAAGGAAAACACATAAATGTCCAAGGATTAAGAGATCTGACTTTTAGATCAACATGCATTCCTATCAACCAAATGGGTTATACACACTCATGTTAATAAATATAAAGGGCATAATTAGTTCTTTGCTCCCACTAAGATGTTTACATCCACACCACTTGTCTAGTCGGTTGCCTAGGTGATAGGCCTCCAAAATGCAATGCTTTTGACTAGAGCTAAGGTGCTAGCAATATTGCAAAGATTAACTTTTAAGAAAGGAAACCACTCAACTACAATGGGCAGAATCTGTTTTGTAGTTGGCTTTCCTGTGGAAACTGAATGTACCTCCTATAATAATGGTTGAAAGGAAGGTGGATAGCTGGGGCTAGTCCACCAAATAAGGATTCAGTGGTTCACCTAGTGACTTTGTAAATCAACTATTCTTTCACATAAATCAATAGTCTTAGTTACTGATAAAAAAATAATACATGAGAGAGATTCGTGACATACTATGGTGTGCTGCTTATTACAATACCATATTGCACATTATGAAGTATGAACGATGCCTTCTAACATGCTTTTTTATGGCATGTATGAACCAAAATTATCCATGTTCAACAAGATATCATCGGATCTTAAGTAGTGGCATGCTTATGTTCTACAGCTTGTCTATGAGATCAATTTTTCAGATTATTTCTTAAATAACATAACTGTGCAACATATACGTGAGAGCTAGGGACTAGGGAGAAAGGGGGTTAACACTCAGCAAAGAAATAAGTGGACTGGGTCAACCAAGAATCTCCACCCCCCCCCCCCACCAGGAAAAAAACAGAAGAAGGAAAAAATCTCCATTCCCTTTTTTTATCAGCAAAAGAGAATTTTATTTTAAATTAGGGTTAAAATAAAGTTTTACAACTTTGTGTATGGGATTAATGCTCCCACACAATTACATATTTCTGTCCCACTTTACATTGCTGCCCAAAACAATTGTTGCCTCAAAGCCCCTTGTTTAGCAAGATAATCAGCTAGCCCATTTGCACTCCTTCATTCCAAGCTGAAGTCAAGTGACAATATTTATTATTTAGGGTTAAAAAATCTTCATTCCCTTCACACATGGAAATGCCTCTTCCAAGCTGAAGTCAAGTGACAATATTTATTCAATAATCAATACTAAGAAAGCTAGGATCTGACATGAAAATATTTAACTAATGCAGCCTAACAAGTCTGAGAGCTACCACTTTTTGCAAAAAAACATAAAAAAAAAAATGTTGAAGGTTAGGTCCATACCCAATCTACCCCTCCCACTACCCAGGTTAACAGGGGTCATCATTGGGCGATGGCCCATAGCTTAAAGAGCAAAATATTTGGCACTAGTCAAGACATATTGGATTCGATGGGGAGGAAAAGGAATGTATTTCCTACCTTTTCACTTTCAAGTTCCTTCCTCGATCTTTTAACGTCATGTTCCAGCTTTTCCACTTTCTGTTACAACATCACAACAGGAAAACAAACATCAGGCTTTGATGTACAAAATCTAATATGTCCAAAAAAAGAAAAAATATTAACATAGCATACATTTATAAAGACCAGATTCTGATTTATGCCCAGATAATGCTTATATACAACCAACAACCAAGACCAAGCTCCCTTTTGGGATTCGGAAACAAAAATAAACGCCAGGAAAAGAAAAGGAAATAGAAACATTTAAACATGTAATGCAACAATACTTTTCTGCTTTCTGCTGAGGCTTTCTGCTCTTCCTTAACTTGGGCTTCTAGCTGGCGCACTTTCTTCTCAGATATAACCAAGCTTTCCCTGAATCCTTCCTGTTACAGAAAAAACAGTTATAAATGAAAAAGGTTCTCTATTATAGATGAAATGCAAAGTCAGTCTGTGCGATGTCTCAGAAAAAAAAATGTCCCTCAAAACATACCAGTTTGGATCTTGAAGCTTCTATAAGTAGACTTTTTTCTTTGTCTGATTCCTGAGATGGTGAAGAAAATGAGCTTACAAACAGCTTTTAGACTAACATGAATCATCTGAAATCGAGAAGAATCAAAATGCTTTTCAAACCTGAAGCTTATTAATAGCTTCTTGCAGCTCTCTTTGTTGTTTTGATGCAACTTCAGATTGCCGTTTTAACTCCTCCTGACCCTCTGCTTGGACTCTCTGCAGTGCAGCTTTTAGATCTGCCTCAGACTTTTCTCGTTCTTCCCTTCTCTGGTTTCGCTCTTCATCTAACTGTGCCTCAAGTTCACATATAGATGCCTTCTGACTGCAGGATAAACAATAGGCCAACAACATGCATGACATCATAACGCATATGTGCAACTAAAACAATGTAGAAACAGTTCAAGTCATTCTTCAAGAACCAAAGTAATACAAAAAAGAATTATAGCAATGGAATTTAATTCCTTACTTATTGATTACTGCATCTGCATCATTGCGTGACTGCATAGATGCTCTAAGTCTTTGTTCAAGGTCCTCAACAGCATGTTGTCGTTCAGCCAAAAGTGAATTGACCCCATCTAGTTCCTTATTTTTAACCTCCAAGGTATGATGTAGCTCTTTAATTTTATCAAGGTATGGTTGTGATACAGATTCTTTCAGCTCCTTCATCTCCTTTAAAATGATTATATATTAATCAGAAAAAAAATGCCAACAAAGAAGCCAATAGTTAAGGCAATTGGAGTGGTAAACCATGCGATAGACATTACTACCACATAGGCACATACAGAGTAAGGGTTTAGCAATTCCCAAGATCAAGTGCACCAAATGTCTTGGGAGAATGCCACTTCAACTTCTCTTTCAATAACAGGAAAAAATGGCTACAAGGAAATTTGGGACAGAAATCCAACATGAATAGCAATAAGTTAGTTCATCCAGCCAATGGTCTTCCAAATTAAAAACCCCGAATGGGGACTTAGGACCAGAATGAGCAATAGAAGACTAGACCAAGACACATTTCATATGAACAAAGACCTGAGCCAGGCCATCTCAGCATTTGTAACCATAACAGGTTACTTTATATATCATAGCATAGGGAACAGTAAATCAGGCCTTCATAAATCTATTTGTGTATCCATGATGATTCTGTAATATATAACTATAAACTACTATTTTGGATGTAGAAGCTCAATCCACATTCAAGCATGCACACACGCGAGGGATTGAAATGGCATACGTTTTCATAACGAACAAGAGCCACTCGATGTTCTTTCTGCAATGTTTCAATGGTGAGGACATGAGATTCCAATTGCTTCCTCAGCTCCTGTGTACAAATAAATATTTGAGGTCTAAGAATCGTGTAAGAAACACAATTAGGTTTTTTATCTAATTATAGAGGAGAAAAGTTGGCATTCACAACCATGAAACCTTCGGGTTCAAAATTTAATACTACCGTGTTTGATCGTTGAAGGCTTCGAACATCATCAAGCGAAATTGGACCCTCAGGTGCACCAATGCCAATACCTTTTAGCCTTTTGCTTTCGGAACCAAATTCCTCTTCTAAAAAGAATTATGATCAGTACATATAACTGATTCCAAATTCTAAGACATGAATATGGACTTCACTTAAAGAAAGAAGCATAATCTCATAGTACATGAATCCTAATTGCTGTGTTTGGTTTCTTGGTACATAAGTGAGAGAAAGTTGTTGAGAGAAGTGCTTTAAGATAACCCCTAAAATTACATGGGGACTTTTCATAGCTTTCCTTTTATTACTTATTTTCTCAGGAGGCAAAAATAGTCAACACTTGGGCCATTATGTCTGACAATTTAACTGTAAGTGTAAATGCTGCACCATGATAAACATTCCATCTTTGACATAAGCAGGTAGCATACCCAGTTTCTCATTCTTATTTGTTAGAACATACCAGTTTTTCTTTTCAAAACTGCACCATCCACCAAAGTATCCGCCTTGGAACATTCTCGATATACAAATGAAAAAGCAAGTTCTGTAACCATCAACAGAAAAAACATGGAAGAAAAAAGATTGTTTAATAACCTTATGATGCATTTCAATCACATATATGGATTATAAACTGCAGCATATACAAGATCCCAAAACCTCAATATATTCACAAGCATGTCAGCACAAATAACAGCACCAATGATTCCTCAACTTATAAAAGAAACCGATAAAAAAGGAAGCAAGATAATACAGGTCACAGTTCTCAATAAATCTGAGAATATTATAGGAGAGTGTTACAAACCAGATTCGTAAATAGAAGAAATCTGTTCAAACCAAAGAGAAGAGAAAAACATTCTCTCTTAGGTCGGCCAGGATATATATATATATATATAGTTTACTAAATAATAACAAAGGTCTGTTATGTCTCTATTTAAGTTGGGACACATCAGCACTAACTTAAAGACACATCACCATACTAAATAAGACTCAAATGACCATTCTACCCTTATTTAGTCAACACTAACACTCCCCCTCAAGCTAGAGAGTATATATCATATAGTCCCAGCTTGTTACATATGTAATCCACTCTTGCCCGACTCAACCCTTTGGTTAACAAGTCTGCCCATTGGCTCCCTGTATTAACATATGTTGTACTTATCATTCCACTTAGAACATTTTCTCTATGTATTTTGTTCTATCATGAAAAACTGAGTTAGAGGAAATGTGAACTGCAGCTTGGTTGTCACAATATAGTTTCATTGAAGTGGTAAACAAGTACCGCATCTCCTGTAGGACATTTCTTAGCCACACTAGTTCACAAGTTGTATGTGCCATTGCTTTGTATTCAGCTTCTGCACTACTTCTTGCCACCACGGTCTGCTTCTTACTCTTCCATGTCACCAAGTTACCCCCAAGGAAAGTACAATAACCTGTAGTAGACCTTCTGTCAGATATAGATCCAGCCCAATCAGCATCTGTATATCCCGCTATTTCAATATTTTCACCGCTCTTATATAGCAAGTCACGGCCAGAAGCTCCCTTCAAATACCTTACAGTCTTTAGCACTGCGTCCCAATGTGGAACCCAAGGATTCTGCATAAATTGACTCACCACGCTCACTGCAAATGAGATATCTGGCCGAGTGATAGTTAGATAGTTTAGCTTGCCCACCAACCTTCTGTACCCTCATGGGTGTTTCTGTTGGTTTGGCACCCAACAAGCCTGTCTCCTCCAGTAGATCAAGAACACATTTCCTTTGGCACAAATTAATACCATACTTGGACCTTGCCACTTCTATCCCAAAGAAGTATTTCAATTTGCCAAAGTCTTGTTTGAAAATGATCATGTAGAAATGTTTTCAACCTGTCACTGCTAGTAATAACAATATCATCAACATAAACCACTAACAAAATCTTCCCCGCATCAGAGTCATAGTTGAATACCAAATGGTCAACCTGACACTGTTTCATGCCAAACATCTTCATGACTTCATTGAACCTACCAAAACAAGCACGAGGGGACTGTTTAAGTCCATAAATAACTTTCTTGATCCTACACACCTTACCACCCTCCCCCTAAGCAACAAACCCGGGTGATTGCTGCATATACACCTCTTCAAGAAGATTACCATGCAAAAAAGCATTCTTAATATCAAGCTGAAACAAAGGCCAATCATGTATAGCAACTAGGGAGATCAAAACAAGAACAGAACCAATCTTGGCAACAGGAGAGAAAGTCTTTGTATAGTCAATGCCATATAACTGTGAATAACCCTTGGCAACCAACCGAGCTTTCAATCTCTCAACACTACCATCAGGCAAATACTTGACCGTGTATACCCACTTACATCCTACAGTATGCTTACCCAAGGGAAGGGTGGTGAGATCCCAGATATGATTATGAGCCAGAGTGGAGAGTTCTTTTTCCATCACTTGACACCACCTCGGAGAGATAAGGGCTTCGTGGACATCCTTAGGAACAGAAACAGAAGATAACAACGAAACAAACTGTCAATGAGAAGGAGATAAGTGAGAAACAAAAACATAATTGGAAATAGGATGAAGGGTACAACTACGTTTACCTTTCCGCAACGCAACGGGAAGGTCTAGGTCAAAAACGGGGGGTGGTGGTGCTGCAGAAGTCACTTCTGGATCCGTCAGTAGTAAAGTTGGAGGGGTTGGTGCATGTCGATGTGTATACACTTAATGGATAGGTGGTCGTGCAGGAGGAAGTGGCATCGGAGGCAAAGACTTGGGTACAGCTGGAACAAGAGGAATGGGGTCTGCAACGGGAACTGGAAGCGGAAGGAAAGAAGGGGAAGAGACAATTGACCTAGAAAAGAACAAAACCGACTCAAAGAAGGTAACATCAGGGCACACAAAACAACATTGAGAACTAGGATTGTAACACTTGTACCCTTTCTGTGTCCTAGAATAGCCAAGAAAGATACACTTCGTAGATCGTACATCTAATTTGTCTAGTCCGGAGCCAAGGTTATGAACAAAGCACACACACCCAAAAACTCGAGGGGTAAAAGGAAAAGGAGACAATGTAGGAAACAGAACAAAGAAAGGAGACTGACCATCAAGGATGGACATAGGCATTCTGTTAATAAGAAAGCAAGATGTAAGCATAGCATCACTCCAGAAACGTTTGGGTACATTCATATGGTGCAACAGGGACCGAGCGATTTCTAAGAGATGGCGGTTTTTCCGTTCAGCTACCTCGTTTTGTTGAGGGGTGTAAGAGCAAGAGGTTTGATGAATAATACCATGTTGTTCTAAATATTGCTGAAAGGGTGTATAAAAATATTCTTAGTCATTTTCTGAATGTAGGATCTTAATATGGATACCAAATTGAGTGTGGATTTTAACATAAAATTTTTGGAAAATAGAAAATAATTCACTTCTTTCTTTCATAAGATAAAGCCCTGTCATCCTTGAATAATCATCAACAAAAATAGCAAAGTACTTGTATCCATTGTGTGACACTATTTTATTTGGACCCCAAGTGTCTGAATGGACCAAAGAAAAAGGACTCAACATACGACAATCGACTCTAGGACTAAAGGAGACCCGATAATGTTTCCCATACTGACACGACTCACAATCCAAAGTAGAAAGACGACTCAATGCTGGAACAAGTTTCTTAAGTGCTTTAAGAGATGGATGACCAAGTCTGCAATGCTAGTGGAGAGGGGTGAGAGACGACTGAAGAGTTGTTGAAGAACCACCACCATCAAGGTAATACAGTCCACCAGCTTCATAGCCTCCACCAATCTTCATCCCCATCTTGAAATTCTGAAATACACAAGATGAAGGGTAAAAGATGATAGAGCAATTAAGAGACTTGGTAAATTTACTAACAGACATAAGATTAAAAGGAAATTCGGGTACATACAGAACTGAAAACAAAGATAATGAACCAGTTTTAACATCACCAATACCACTTATGGAAGAAGTGGAACCATTAGCAAGGGTGACAGTGTGGGTTGTAGAGGATGAAGAAAGTGAAGAGAACACACCTGGAGTCCCAATCATGTGATCGGAAGCTCCATAATCAATAATCTAGTGGGAGGGTTTGGATGCCAGACAAGCCATACCTAAGTGAGCAAACGTAGTTGTACTCGGCTGAGAAGTAGCCTGGATCAACCGCTCATATTCAGTACGTGAAATACTCATCATCTCTTGTCTGGAGGCATCTATAGGTGGAGGTGTTTGATCGGTTTGTTGACTCCCTTGTTCCATATCACCACTAGCCACTACATGATTTGCCCAAGATGAAGGTGGGCCATGTAGATCATAGCAAAAATTAACAATGTGTCCATCCACACCACAATGTGTACACTTTCTCAGGCCATGATTACGTCCTCTACCACAAGCTCCCCCTGAATCTCAACCTCCAATATGCCCACCACCACAACTGTACATGTGTCCACCTCTACCACCACGGCCTGGCTGGCCCTGATGAGCTACTTCTCTACCACCACAGCCGCCCCCTCTGGCCACCGCAAGGGCAGACCTATTGGATATGGTGGGGTTCTCTGGAGGGCCAATAGAAACCCTCCGGAGATGGGCAAACACCTCCTCGAGAGAGGAGAGGGCAGACCCACCTAGTATCTAAGCCCTCACCGGTTTATATTCAAGCTTCAATCCCACCAGAAATCTGGTTACATCAAGTTGCTCTCTCTGTTGTTGTTGAATTTTAACATCAGATGTAAGGGGGTGATACACGCTCAACTCATTCCTCAATTTTTTCAGACTAGCATAATACTCTTCAAGACTCTAGTTACCCTATTGCAAACTAAAATACTCTTGATAGAGCTAATATACTCTGGTAGTGTTATCCTGTCCTAAGTAAAGCTTCCTTCCATAATCCCAAATTTCCTTGGTTGTGTCTAAGAACATGAAGTTTACACTAATCTTCGGTTCCATACTGTTCCACAGCCAAGTCATAATATGTGCATCTTCTTGCTCCCAATCACCATACTCATAGGAATCAACTGGGGGTTTTTCTTCTCTTATATGCTTTACTTTCTTCTTGGCTCTGAGAAACACTTCAACAGATTTGGCCCAAGGTACGTAATTTTCTCCATTCAATTTAATTGAGGTCATTTGTACATTCAAGTAGTCTTGAGGGACCATAACCGACTTATGTTCATTATCTCCATGGCTGTAAAAAAAACTCTTCCCCTCTTTTTTTTCAACCTGCCTTACCCAGTAATCACTACACTGCACTCCAACAAACACTGTACTTCACTCCTCTAGTTAATCACTCACCACCATATGACTGACCATTGCTGAAACATACACTGTCACAGGTTTCAGCAATGTTAATCCCCACTATTATCACTTTCAGCACCTCACGAACACATCACACACATAAGAGTACCACTTCAGCATTCCATACGACTGATACTAAGCCTTCGGCCCGCTGAACTGAACCTACCACAAAACCTGTTGTTGCAGCCCTCTTCGTTCCATCGATTAGAGGGTTCTCTACCAACCACCTGAAACCACAACTTCACACCCAATCGAATACATT